ATACAAAAAGATCATTAAAAAGACAGTCCGTTTTTGTAATTTTATGGGGAGAACGGAGGCACTGTTTTGCAAATATTTAAGTCTCTATCTTAGCGTCACATTACGGCAAATTACCGAACTTTTATATAGACAGAGAAACTTGTGAGACAAATGCATTTATGGGAGGTGCTAAAAATGCAAGGAAATGTTCTTATCTTTTAACTGTGATTATGTGTCGGAAACCTTTCGCTCGCTTCATTTGCGTCCAAGGCAATTATTACATGGGACACAAATGTGAGACAATTCCGTGCAAAGATAAAATTGTTGTACCTCAAAACAAAGTAGCATTGAAATTATTCGAAATTGATTGTTGGTTAGCACCATTTTGAACCCTCAAATTAACAAGTTTTTATTAAAAGTAAACAGTATTTTTGTTCTTCAGAATTAATGTGCGTAATTTGCACATAGGTATAGGTATGTAATTAAGGTTGGTCTTTCCGTCAGAATGTTTGCAATTTTTTTGCTACATTTCGTACAACATTCAAATTTATTTATAGTATGTCTCAGACCTAGGAGTAATAAACCCCCCGGCCTACGAAAGAGTATAATTATTTTTACATAGAAGTAGCGCCGTAGCGGATAACAAATATTTTCCACCAAACATATAGGTATTTGAAGTGAGAAATTAAAAATGTTCAGCATCCAATGTATGGGGATGGTACCTACTTCGGCAATACATGCTGGGGATGTGAGCAGTCATAGGCGTGCGCTGGTATATTTTCGTTATTTCTTAATTCTTTATATAATTACTGCGATTGACGATATTGTATACTAGTCCAGTCAATCTATTCTGTCCCCCTAGAAACCTTCATATAAAATTTCTGTCAATCAAAAAATAACTGAGTAGAAGTAGATATTCTGCTGATTAACATACCAAAAAATGGATCTCCGAAAATGACCGCTAATATTGTAAATTTATTAAAAACGATTGAAAATTCACAACACAATGCTTCGAACACTGATAGTTGCACTTTAGCTTGAGGTAAAAATACCATTTTGTAGAGAAATTAATTGTCTTTAAATTTGATGTGGGTATTTATGTCATACAATCCCTTTTTTTATGTTAAAAATTCTGGAAACTTTCCAACCCCGATTACACCAAAGCGTTAGGGTCGACCCAGTCTAACCGTGAAAAAATTAGTGACAAGCTGAAATTGGGTAAATAAGTTGATTTTGGAGTCCTTAAAATACCACCAAACCCCATAAGTGATCCGCCGTGTCTGTCACCTCCAAACTACCTTTGAAAGGGATTTTTTTATGTTTTTTGTCAATATCTTGAAAACAACGCTATTTGCAAAAGAATGTGAAGATAGACAAATGAAAGCGTAGGTTTGGTGCTGTACCAGTGGCGAAGTTATAATGTTAATTTTATTTTAAAAAATTAATTTAATTTTTTATTTTTTTTTGTGAAATCTAGAGAAATTTCTCAAAAATATTTAGGTAAGAACATTCATTTCGTGCCTATTCTAATGAAATAAAAAATCATAACAGTGGCAGTACTAATTTTTTTATGTCATCCCTTTTTTAATGCATTAAAACGATGATATATTGTAATATATTGTAGTCAGTAGGTATCTATGCAGTGCAGTAGGGTAACTTATTATGAGGTAGTGTAACTAAAATACGATCCGTTTAGGCAAATGAATACTTAACATAGCATAAGTTTTTAATTAGGTATCTACATAATTAGATATTTCTATACCTATATTAATTCGTCAGACTCTATAACTGTCTACAATTCTACAAGCTAGGGTACACTTTAGACCAATTTTTCGCCACGAGCAAGCTTTTTTGCAACCGCCTGACGAACAGTTGCAAAAAATTTGCTTTAGAACCCTTTCGAGGTCCATGTATGTCTTGATCCACTCCTGCATTGGTAAGTTATTATTCAGCCATGTTTGAAACTAAAAAGGAAAATCATCCGGGTCAGTATTACATTCCAGCTTTGAGGCCTTTGTAAAGAAGGTATAATGAAACTAGAGGAATTGAAGCGATAGAGTCAAATAAGAATAAACTTGTAACAAATATAGCAAACGAGCTCCTGGATCACTGAACATCTTTTCCTTGGGTGATGATAAACAAAATACTGAAAACAGAATTGGAAAATTCGAAACCGTTCGGGAGTTATCTTGTCCACATACGGACGGACGGACGGACAAAAAGTCCAAAATTCTGAACTAGCTAGGAGCTTCTTAATAATATAATTAATCTTTTCAAAGAAAATACTTGTTAAAAGTCCTAAAAACGCATGGTTATTGGTACTGAGCTGCCTTTAGAGCCGGTGGAAGCTATGCTAAAATAAAATCCTTATTTAAATTTTGCTGTACTACATATTGCTGGTAAAGAACGTCAAGGTCCTTAATCTGTCATTTGTTATATTTCTTCCTTGTCTACAGTAGGTATAGACAAAATAATATTTCCTATTTGTTGAAAAGCCCAGATGTGGTACCTATCGCATTCAGAAATGGCGTGCATGGCAAAAATAACATTTTTAGAGGTCCTAATTTATGTTGACATTTTTAAATATCCATGACTTTATTTGTTTTTCAATTTCCTGGCCGCAACATACTATATAAAACAAAATAGAAGAAAAAACAAAACATAATTTTAACACCTCGGTTAACACCATCCAAAGGGGCGCAGTTCAGATAGGATACATGACCACACATTTGCTCTTCCGTTTAACCCCTCCAATTTAATTAACTAAACAACAAAGAGGAATGAAACTAACTGGTGTATATAATGATGTGAAGCGTATGATTAATATACGTATGGGAATGACGATTGAAGAAAACCGACAAAAGAAAATAATAATAATAATAAACATGTTTCGTGTGTTGTTTAACAACTTAAGAATATAGTATTCTATTGTGAGTACACGTGACGCTCGACTTAACGTTTGAAATTTCCAAAGCTTAGTGTTTTAAGATTGTTGGATAAGTTGTAAGATCTTTTATAGAATTATGTTTTATGAAATGGCGGAATTATTAATTTATAAAATCTATTGTTCGTACTAAACTGTATTTTATTATAAAGATAGTTAGGTGTTCTGGTTATTATAATTTTATGGAATAGTGTAGCTGCATGAGCATGTCTTCTGCGCTCCATATTCAACCACTTCACTTCCGTTAGTTTGTGAGACACATGCTCATGTTTTTTTATGCCGAATATTTTTTTTTTTGGTAGGTGGGGAAATGCTCCTTATGCACACTCCAGGTTGAAAGGTCTGGAGTAGTGTGGGGCTCTCCCTTACTCGGGTATACCCACTAAAACCCCACCTAAGGCTTCGGCTTCTATGGCCATTTGCCTATTTTCTCAAAATATCACAGACTTCGTTCTAATAGAATATTACATACAGGTAGGTCGACTCACATACAATACAATATTTTCGATATGACAAAGTTGGTAACTGACACAACAATAAATAACAATTAAATAGACAGCCATTATATCACAGTTTGTGCAACATTTCCACACTTTGGAAAAATCCACCCTTCGACACCGTTCATCGCTGTTAAAGTTACCTTCCCATATCGGGCATATCCCGAAGTTGTCCCGTATATCTTTGTATCGTGGACAGTTACAAAGTATGTGCTCTAGTATTAAATTAACCTCACAGTTCGCACATAGGGGTCTAGGTTTACCTTCCAGCAAGGCGCTATGGGTTAATGCGGTGTGCCCAAGTCTAATTCGAAACATCTTCACGAATACAAACCGGCCCTCGCCAAGAAGAAATAGCGGCCCCAAATCGGGTTTGACCCTTTTCAAAAATGAATCGGACCTCGCCCATAGGTCGCCCCAACGCTCATACATCCGAGCCCTGACGAGTGTACGTCGGGTTACTGTTGTCTCATTTACAACATCAAGGTCATTTAGTTGTAGATACGTTAGATCCTCTCTAGCCCTTTGGCTCAGCGTTCTGCACCTATTCAGCCGTCGACCCGGAACTGCGCCTGCCATCGATACGTGATTCGGATGTTGTTCATCCGAAATTACTTTACAGCAGCCTGTTTACGACGGAGGGCTAGAGGAAGGATATTCGCCTCGACGTGAAGCGCAGCGACCGGACTCGTTGGAAAAGCTCCGAGGGAATACAGTATGGCGAGGTTTTGGATTTTATCGAGATTCCCAAGCATCGCACTGTTGTCACATGTCAGATAAGCACAGCACCCATAATCAATTCTCGATAAAATTAAGGCCTTGTAGACGTCGAGTAACGTCTTTGGGTGAACTCCCCACTTATGGTGGGCCAGGACCCTAATGACATTTAATGATTTCCTACACTTTGTGACAACATTCTGTAGATGATTGGACCACCGCAGCTCCCTGTCAAAGGTAAGTCCCAAAAATTTCATATCTTGGGACACAGCTATTATACGGTCTTTCATAAATAGAACGGGGTCATAGTGTGGTCTTCGGAGTCGACAAAAATGAACCACCTTCGTCTTTTCCTCAGACAAAACATACCCCACTGCATCCGCATTATCAGAAATTTTATTGATAGCCATTTGTAGTATACGCACAGCGGAACCAACGGTTTTTCCGGCGCAATGAATCATGAAGTAATCGACATATAGGGATTTATCGACTGTGTCGGCAACACCCAGGGCTATTCCGTTTATGGCAATTGCAAACAGTGAACAGCTTAAAGTCGAGCCCTGCGGGACCCCGTTTTCTAATACGCGCTCGTTTGAATACGCCTCTCCAATTCTAACAATAAACTTTCTGCCTCTTAAAAAAGATCTAATAAATTTGGGTATGTTTCCGCGTAAATTGTATTCAAACATTTTTTTAAGTATACCATACCGCCATGTCATGTCATATGCGCTCTTGATATCAAAGAAGACCCCAATCAAATGCTCGCCACCATCAAACGACTTTAGGATGTTATCAGTTAATTTAACCAAATGATCGATCGTCGACCGACCTCTCCGAAAACCGGCCTGATAGGGGACGATGATCTCGTTTTCTTCCAGAAAGACCCGCATGAAGTCAAACTAATTGGACGGTAGTGCTGCGCCAACAGCGGATCTTTCCCCGTTTTAAGTATGGGAACGACTATGGCCCGTTTCCACTCATCAGGGTAGATACTATTTTCCCAACAAAAATTAAAGAAATCTAAAATCACTTGTTTCATAGGTTTGCTACAATGACGAAGCATCTGATTGTGGATACTATCGTGACCGGGAGCGCAGGATTTCGTGTTTTTAAGTGCAGATTCTAATTCATCCATACTAAAAGGTAAGTTATATTGAAGATTCTCATCCGTATTGAAGTTAATGATATCGTCTTCCTTTTCAGCTTTAGTCTCAAGGAAAAACGCTGGATAGTTTAACGAACTACTGACCTGATAGAAATGGTCTGCCAAGAGGTTCGAAATTTCTTGTAAATCTTTCGTAACCACCCCATCGTTTTTCCGAAGGAATGCCGGGTAGTTTAGTTTAGATTTGCCAGATATCGCACCCATCTTTTTCCATATTTCACTCATAGTCACGTCCGTCGTTATGGTGGATACATAGTGTTGCCACGACCTTCTTTGTGCCTGGAGATTTATGCCGAATATTAATCGCAAGCACGAATTTTGAATTTTTTGTATTCTACGAGCATCCAGACTATCGAGGCAAGGACCATAAACCACATCGCAATAGTGAGAAATAAATAAATAAATAAAAAAATACAAAAATAAATAAATAAATAAATAAATAAATAAAGAGTTATCTACGAAATCGGGCACAATATGTAAGCTATAGAGTAAATCACTTGGGAATTTGTGTGGGGTACCCCAGGGACCAGTCCTTGGTCCAATTATATTCCTTATATTAACGAGCTCGTTCATTCTTTTGGACTTTCTGTCCGTCTGCGTACATGATAACTCGCGAACGGTTTCGAATTTTTCAATTCCGCCTTCAGTGTTAAGTAGACAATAGTTAAGGGACGAAATGATTAAATTTTGGTAATTTTCTGTCTGTCCGTCTGTCTTTGTCGTTCGTTTATTTATGTTAGTGATCTGTGTTCAGATAATCTCCAGACAAGTTTGACTTGCTTTCCAGATGATGCTTCTCTATGTTATTAGGATTTATCTGCTTTTAAGTTATTAGAACTTGTTCAAATGTGTTATTCTAGGGATTTTTTGTGCTTCAGTTTAGTGTTTTCATTCAAAAGTAATTAATTGACATTTAAGCAAAGCCGTTATACGCTAGATCTGACAGAGCGGGTTACAATTTACTATTATTTATTATTTAAATGGAACACAATCCTCAAGTGGTTTGGATGGACATACGAATAAATAAGATGAGAAGATATCAGTTTTCCCTTCAGAAAATGTCTTGGAAAATGCACTAAAAAGGTCTTATACGTATTATCAGGTAATGGAGTAACAAGGGGGCAGTATGGCGTGAGATGAGAACCTTGTGAACGAATTAGGTCCCAATTAAGAGGGTTGATATATTAATACGGGAGGGTCTCACAAATGTTATTTGCAGGATTACATTAATAATTTGCAAAACTGTCCTACAGCAGAAAGTGTTCGCTGAATTGAATCAATTAGCCGTTTTACAGCAATATCAATATCCGTCCCTTCGATAGTATGTGCTAACGGCCTTAGTTATCGCTGTTAAAATGACCAGAAAGGAAACGTTTTATGATCGTAGAAGAAAATCCATATTTATATCTGCAATATTGCTACGACACCAATAAATACTTGGTTGACCTAAACCGCGGTGTTACGCATATAAATAACGCAAAAAATTGGAACCATTCCGTGCTTATTTTGTGTTACGTGTTCTAGTTTCCTAATAAATTTCTTATAAAATTCGTTTTGAAGGTTTGGGGTAATGGAACTTGCGACCCTACATTATTCTTATCTTTAATTAAATTTTGGGAGTGTTAGAACAATAGAGAACTGCAGGCTACTAAAAATCGTTAAAAGAGAACTTATAGTATTATACCTATACGCAACATAAATGTAATTACTACTGCCATTTTTATAGTTCAAGGTTATCTCATTCAATATAAATTGCATGTAAAGATCGCGCTGAATGGAACAAATCTAGTTAGTTGCAGGGCAAAATATTACGTCCGTGTATTTGCTGGTTCGGTACATATTTTATGGGGGTTGCAATAACGGAATCATAACACAGAGGAGAGCTTTAGGACCTGGATATCCTGTTTCTTGCGCTTTTGGTAATAAATTCCACACAACTTACCCTCGAAATTCGTAGTGGTTGTTGAACGTCTACACCACCATGCATGCGAAAACCCCAGGGCGAACCTCCATCTAAGACCACTTCGCGTGTTGTCATAGTTTTGAACACTTCAAAGCCAATTGGTAGACAGCCAAATATTCAATACACTGTTATTACCACTGCTCATCGATTAAAATAGATGCATATTTTTTAGAAAAAAACTCAAAAAAATGTGCGTTACCTACGGTAGGATGTCCCACTTAGCAAGGATATAGGTCAATTTTTACAATTAATGCCGGCGAGTGAGTTAAACGATTAGAAAAATGTCCTGTATATGAGAGACCGTATGGGAAACCTCGCTTAATCTTGGTAATTATAAACACTGAGATAAAAATAAACTTGAACTTTTTATCTAGATTACACTAAAATTTAGGTAATTCTACTAGATAGTGAGAAAAAGGTCATAATAATTACTTAATCTTATCAGCAAATACACATTCACTCATTCAAGAACCGGCAATAATAGACTGAGAATGATAACACTAGAATTATTGTTTTCCACATTCAAACGTTTAACGTCAAATCTGATCACGTGTTATCCATCCACGTTTTTGTCGAGACGCCGACGGTGAAGGTTCACCGGGTGCCGCACTGAAACAGACTGCGCCATGGTATTCATTCGCAAGCCCGGGTGGCCTGGTGTAATATGTCTTTGCACTTGCGAGATTCTTCTGCCTCCTACTTTGTCCGATATCGAACAGCCACCCCATTTTATTTATATTTTGGATGGCCGAAACGTGATTACTCATTAATTTGATTAGTAAATCCCACTGAAGAGAAATCCCATTCCCGCTTTTAACGAAAACTCGTATATAAGCAGCACCCTTATACTGATCTGAAACAGTTAAAAATCCGAGTCAACGAACTTAGCAACTTAAATGGTTTTTTTTACTTTAAAGAATCTAAACAAAGAAGCTTATATTAAAAATAATATTATGAAGTTAACTAGATTAATCCCCATCTGGTATTACGAGTACACACACACTAATAATGAATTTTTCAGATAATCAATTCGAACTGCTTTGTTAGAATTCATTAGACACACCTAATTAAACTACTACAATTCCAAACGTCAATTTGGATTACCCTGTTTTATAAATACAAAAACTTCCCTTGTTAATTACTACCTTATTTATCTTCTGTAGTCTCCCACGCCTACATAAATCATACGTAGGTACAGAAAAACAAACCTCAAGAATGAAATTCTCAACTTCTGATGGCAAACAGTAATAAGAATGCGTAAATCAGCTACAAGTTATATAATATAATGAAACAAATTAACAATTAACTAATCGACAGCTGTTAATTAAGCACAATGAGCAATTAATGTAATTTTTTAGAAGAACACAAACATTCCAATTCTATTATTCTACCACACAATTTTCTCGCTCACAATAGCCGAAGTTCAAATAAATGTGTTTCTTGAGTTTCCTATTAATTTAAGACTCTCTAATGTATTCATTATCAGTTAGGATACATCTTCCTAACTATACCGAATTCCATTTGAGAGTACATTCAACTTTTTCAGCGGCGAACCGTATTGAAGAAGATTAGTAGCATAAACATAAAGCATAAATGTTTATAAAAGAGCTTAGAATTAAATGAGCTGAATTAAAATAATATACACCCTCGATCGGTAGAAGCTACCGCGGGGGGGTCTTAGGATAGATAGATACGTAAATAAATAAATATAATTATGTTTATATAAAGTACCATATAGTGTAAGAATAGAAAAAGTACCTCCGAATTTCAGGTTGAATTCTCGAATGTTAAAGCAAATAATGCTCATGCAGTAGTAAAATTGATCTATCTTAGGAGATCAATTATTTTTATAACCAAAATTACTATTTCCCGTTCATTTCTTTTTTTTTAGTAATTAGAACCGTGTACTTTTATCTTTTTTTGAAACAACTGCTGGACTGAAACTGACGTTCACACATGATTGAAGAATGTCTGACAGGTTCAATCTCACATTTCCTTAGAAAGAGTAACACACAATTAAACATTATACTAAAATATATAACGTATAGGTGAAATTTTGAAACTGGCGTTAGATTTTCCTTTATTCCAAGTGCCTATGTATCAAATTTCGTTTAAATGCTTCCATAAATAAAAAAGTTAGCACTGCGATTGCGCAAAACCAACTTTTCAAACTGGCGTTTGATTTTCCTTTATTCCAAGTGCTTATGTATCAAATTTCGTTTAAATTCTTCCATAAATAAAAAAGTTGGCAGTGCGCATGCGCAAAACTAAATTTTGAAACTGGCGTTAGATTTTCGTTTATTCCAATAGTGTCTATGTATCAAATTTCATTCAAATACTTTTATAAATAAAAAAAGTTTCCAATTCGGTTTATAAATGGTCGAGATGCGAAAAGGGCACTGTGAATTTTGAATCGATTCGACTCAACTTTTGGCATTGCGTATTATATGGCTAAAGCTATGCCCATATTGAATTCGTGCAATTCAGTTCATAACTAACGGAGATCTAAAAGCGATCCGACATTTCTAAACAAAATTATCGTTCACACGGACAGATAGAGGGACAGACAGACAAAGGAACAGACGGACAGACCAACAGACAACAGACCAACAGACAGACGACAGACAACAAAACAAAAACATAAATGATCTCTAGGATCGTTAATAAACGACAAAAGTGTAAAATTATGGAACATGTAAAAAACGGGTTTTTTAGTTTTTTTACAATAACTTTTTTAGCAATAAACGCAGAAAAAATTCCTTCCTTGGTGCAAGCCTCGACACCATAGCGAACAAAATAGCGAAAAAAGTAGAACAATAGCTCTTAAGATAAAGAACTAGTAGCGTCTCAACGAACGAGCGGACGGACGGACAAAGTGGCCACAATAGCTCATTTTTTTAAATTTTTGTGGAAATGCGCTAAAAAGGGTGAAAAATTTAGTTCTTGTATTCCAAGGTAACGTGTTTTATCTTGGCGAATAAATGAGGACTATGTTTTACTAGCTTGACAAAAAAGGAAGAAAGACAGATTTTTTGAAGTGACTACTTCTTTTCACCCGTTATACACTATATGTTTTTGACGAGAGTAAAATCATCTCATGCGTAACGTATATATTCTGTGGGGGCCACGCGTAACGCTCTGCAGCCGAAGGCGAGCTCGGCCTAGTTCCCAATTGTGTAAAGCGCATTTGAAAAGAAGTATGGCATTAAAACCGTCAGGTATCATATAAGGTCTCCGTCTGTTTTTGCTGAGAAGGGAGCGGTTTTTCGCATGTGTTGTGTCTTAAATTCTGTAGTAACATAAAAAGGACAGAGACTACTATTACTACAGAGACATTTTTATGACTGCTATAAGAGACCCTCCTTTGCCGTTGTTAGTTGATTTTCAAATTTTGCATACCCTAACC